TCGAATCCTGATTTTACTCTTCAAACATTCGAAGTCATTACATCGAATGCTGTTTTAATATTCGTTTCATATGTAACGGTAATTTAATTCCAATAACCTCGAAAAACTATTTGAATTTGAATCGTTTTGTGAGCACTAGTATTTTGAGAAAGGAAAGATATATACTTACGTACGTACGTACAAAGCTACTTTAAATTTATCTTTAACTGGTGCTAAGAGATATATACACAATGTAATTAACGACAGGTAATAAAATATAAGTAAAGTATACTTTCTGAAACCTATTTAACAGTAATATAGAAGTTCGGCATCATACGGCTGCTATGCTCTGAACTAGAAACTATGCCAACAATTCGAGTGATGAGGCAGTTGTTTTACTTATGATACCTAGACTTTTCATTTCACCCTCCCAACTTCTACAACTGTACTTTATTTAAAGAGGCACTTTCTGGTCGGTAAAAGATTAATTTCGATTTGATTTAATCTGGCTCTCCAGTTCAATCTGGCTTATTCAAATCAGACTTCAGGTGCTGTTCAAATACAAATGTTATCTGGCACTAGCTAATGACTAATCAAATACTTCTAGCTTGGCATGAAAAAGATCCAAAACATACCGAGTCTTAAGTATGTAGGCACCAGTAATTATGTGTGGAGATCTACTAATAAATATTATAAATAAAGAACAATTAACCAGCAGACCACCCTCTTTAGTCGTGTCTTGTATCAATTGGCATAACATCAAGCTTGTGGATTAAGAGTGAATCAAATTTTGACATTGTTCCAGGTAGACGGAAGTTAATAACACAAGCGGTAAAGAAGCAGTTGGTAATAAAAAAAACTGTTTGTTATTTTTCATCTAAACCTGTTCCTACTTGTCCTAACAAATATACTATCCCTCGCTAATACCAGAAAACTGAAAAATAATGTGTTGAATATAAATGGAATGGTTAATTTAGTGCGAATCTTTGTCTCGTGCATATAAGGTTTTTTGAGAGAATAGAAAGGTAATTTCACACAGAAACCACACGATTTGTCTGGTTACGCGTCAACAAATGTTGATTAGGCTACACGATATAAGAGACTTTTGGCAAGCGGATTTTTCCCATCCGTATCCCGTATCCGTATCGTATACGTGATACGTTGCGTCAATGTAGTTTTAGAGTTTTGGCAGATTTTAGAAATTTTTGGTTTCACTAATGTATCATTTCAGAAAGTTTAGCCCGTAGATCAACCAGTATGCAGACAGGCGGGAAAAATATGAAAATTCCGAGAACAACCCATCAAAAATAATGATTAAATTCCAGTCGTTATCACTGTTAAAATCACATCAAATATACACCTTCGTGTTCTAGGATACACATAGATTCATAAAAACGCTATGATGCAACATTTCAGCGTATAAAAGTAGAAAAAACGACGGTAAAAAGACGACAGTGTTATACGGAACATTTCCGTATGAAAGCCGTTCCATACGTGCTGTCGTATCCGTGTGCCGTATCACGTATGAGAAATACACAGACATTGATGACGTAACACGCAAAATCCATACGGATACGCGATACGGACCAGGAAATTACTCTTGCCAAAAGTCTCTAGTGTAAACAACCTCATACTTATGGAAAAACAGGCTTGATAACGTTGAAAGAATACTCTTTGAAACGTCGCCTTAAAATACACTAGTAGCTGTTTTTCCATAAGTATGTGTTTTTGTTGTTACTCTATCCAGTTACTAAATGCCATTTAAAGATTATCATTTTAGTTACGTTATACCGTCAAGCAAATCTATCGATCTTTCCCGAAAAGTTTTAATTTTCGTGGAACTTTAATTCATTTACATTGTGGCTTCTGATTTTGCATATTTACCTCATAAATTTTATCCCGGCCCCTTTACTACAGACGTCTAACTTATACCGTTTTGTACATCATGAAGTTACCAATATGCAGATTCTTTTTCTCATCCAAGGGACAAATTGAAACAGACCGAGGCCTACTTGTTTTCAATGTACCGTATAACCCAGGCCACTACGGATGTTTTGTCTATGTGTTGCTGATACTCAATTTCAATAAAAGAATGCTTTCATTATAGTATTCCATCTATGATATAGTTTACAACGAAGGGGGTTCTTTTCCAAAGTCGTTCCCCCTTGTCAGTGGTGCAGAACGGGGGACCTGACAAGGACAGCGGTCTAGTCGTTCGGATGGGACGAAAACCCGAGATCCCGTCTATACATTGGCGTGCACGTAAAAGATCCCTTGGCAGTTGGAATTCGATATAAGAGTTGGCCACAGTGCCATTGCCCGGGCAAAATTTCCCTCATAGCACACTGTATGGTGTATACCTGTCTTCATTAACCCAGTTTAGAAGCAAAACAGTAGGACGTTAAACCTCATTTCATTTCATTTCATTTTAAACAAGCCCATTCCTCTAGGCATATGGCCACTTATCTTAATTATAACACCAACGAAACCGAAGAAAGAATTCATAATAACTGTAATCACGAGGTTTCAAGTATGAAATTAAACGTATTGTTTACATTCAACAGAGACCAGATTTTATACCCTACAGCATAGCGTGATATTAATTCACCTTCAAAAGGAAAATACAGAAATCACAAAACAGAAAGACTAAATTGTAAACTAAATTAAAAATCTCGAATCTGGGCCAACTGTTATTTATTTTTTAAGTCGTTTTTTAACTTGGATTTGGCAGGATCAAACGCCAATGGTGTGCAGTTTTATCACCGATTTCTTTAGGTTAAAATATTTCTTGTTTTCGAATCCCTCATAAGAATCACATCGTTAACAAGTTCTGTATCTTAGACCTTCGACAACATTTAGAACGGCCCTGTGTATGCTAGAAATGAAAATGAAATGCCGTTTAACGTCATGCTGTTATGCTCTGACTGGGCTAATGAAGACGGGCGTATACGATATACAACTGAGCTATAATATAATAGGGTTTAACGTCCTACTTTTCTGCGCCGACTGGCCTAATGAATACCGGCATACGCCGTGTAGTGTGTTATGGGGGTCATTTTGCCCGTACAGCGGCACTACACCCTACTCTTATATCGAATTTCATCTGCGAAGGATTATTTTACGTGCACGTTAATGTGCACATGGAACCCGAATTTTCGTCCCATCCAAAAGACTATACGCTGTCCCTTGCCAGACCATCTGTCCTGCAACACTGGCAAGGGAAACCACGCCGGAAAATCCCGATGAACTTTTTCGACCAACACCGTGATCGAACACGGAACCTCCAGGTTAGTGAGCCAAAGTTTTACTCACTGAGACACCGCGGCTCCCAAGAAGAAGAGAATAGAATGCTCAACAGTTTTGAGACTGAGCATATCTAAGTAGGATTGAAAATATATTCTTAACCCTTTCACGCATACATGCGCCATCCATTCCGCCATAAAATATAATCATAACTGCTATCTCTAAATTCATTATCTCGTTACCGACTAAGGTAATGTTTTAAGTTTCATAAACATAGGTTCTGTATTCATATATTGATACTAGCCCAATACCTTAAAACAGATGCTGGTTAAAATATTTGAACTAAACCCACCTTTCTTCTCATATTATATACGGTTATATGTTAAATTATCAGAAATATTACCTGTCTGTAATGCGTGTCACCCTTCTAATAAAACACATGCCTTGCCTTTCATCGCAGATTTATTAATACCCACCACCATCTCACTAGACTAGGATTCTGTTTAATGTTCAACTAGGTGATCATAAAATACGATCTTACCCAAGGGGTGTTCATTTATTTATAACCAATTAACCGTCAACTTAAAACAGGGCAATTAAACAGGTATGGCCTACATAATTACACCTTATTATAACCAATATTACAAGAAAGAAAGCGATACAATCCATCCTAACAGGAAAGGAGTGAACATGGGAGTGGCCTTACTGAACAAGTCACTGTCTGAATATTGTATTGACACAGTGAATGGAACCTCTTTAAGAAGACAATTTTGTATTTAAAATTACTAGTACATTTTATAACAAAAACGATTTCATTCCTGTCAATAATCCAGTTCCGGTAACGAGGGCCCGGATCGACTCATCGTTTAAAGAGCACATAAAGTGATTATACGGAATAATGTGTATGACATCAGCGAGCCAACTCAGTATAGCTTATTACAAAAGTGGTTTAATTTTAGATGTTATCTAGATTTTGTTTAAATATGCCGTAACCAAAATTAGAATATATTTGAATATGAGTACAATACAATAACAGTCTGCGGCTTCTTTCGGATTAAAACAACATAAAGTGCATGAAATGTTTACGTATAGAAGCCACCGTGCTCCGACGCCGCTAACACGAACGAATCATGTAAATTCAAATAATGTGTTGTTGGTCATTTGGACATGCACTAACAAAATGGATTATGAATATTTAGAAGTATCCAGTGATCTGCAGTAGTAGTAGTATTCGTTATTTCACAGTATGTACTGATGCAGATTATGTCCAGAGAAATGGCAAGGGCTGATTAAGGGACAACGGGTTGCCGGAGGCCCCACCAATGATTCGGTGGCCATCCCTCAGAAAATTTTGAAAATTACATCGCCACAATTAGATTTAGAACCCTATCCTGTCGGGTTCGATACAAATTGGAACCGATGATTTAGTTGCCCAAATCTGACATTTTCATTGTACTTAATGATCTGACATTTTCTTTCGGCGTGATAAAAAGTCTATCGGAAGTTTTTACAGACTATACAATTTTTGTGGCAAGGCTTTCCGTATCTCATCGCGGTTATGAGCTTATAAGCATTCTTGCACGAAAACAGTCGTTTCGTCAGAATCGTTAGTAGTCTAGAGTTCTATAATTTCACGCAGATCGCAATTGGATCGTAGTTCTGCAATAAAGTAAGTCCAATTAGCTGACAATCTGTGTTTTCATTTTATTGAACAAAACATTTGCCAGCAAATAAATTAGAAATATGCGCTATTTGTGAATTTATTTCAGTATATTTACCTGTCTAGAATGATGATGTTTTCAAGCAGACGATAAGTCAATATCTGGTTACTTTAGCATTCAGATTTCTTCATACCTGCACGTATAAAAAAAAATATTATCAAAGAAAGAAATTCAACTACATTCCCCACATGTATTAATAAACTCCAAATGGCCAATTGGCACTATATATCATAGTCTTTTTATACAATACCATAATAGTCTACGAAAATATATTCTTAGATTACGAGGATGGTGATGATGAAGATCAGCATCAATTTCATGATTATGAAAATCGTGATAAAGACACTAGACTGATGGCGAGGTAAATGTTGATAATGATGATACTGGAATGTCTTGTGAATGTTAGGGGTGAATGGTGATGATAACAATGACAAGTTGGCATCAGGTTGTTTATAGTTACTAACCCACACTAGTGGTTTATATATCTAAGAATAGGTAAGCTGTCAAATATACGTATAAGTAGTATAACCTACATATAAAGATTTGATCATTCATGTCTGCGGAAAATAACCTACTTGTGTGAGGAAGGAAATTACTTTACTACACAAATTTGGGTCTATTAATTGTTACATCTCCTATTATAAGAACAGTCAGTAAGTGTTAACTATAAATATGACGATTTTTGTTGATTTGCCAAAACAAGTTTTAATCCGTCTGCTGGGAAGACTAAACCTGTGAAATATCACTCACAGACACCTGGTACCATGTTTCTAACTATTTACCGAGTTTATAATGTCGTGGGTAATTATCTATATTGAGGATATAAAGCAGATGAATCGCAACGACTTATTTTATAAAATCTTTGCTAAGAGTAGTTCCCTTGAAATATTCGAATAGCTGTCTTTATTTTGTATTGCCAATAATGCAAGCAATAATCAATAAGACACAAGCTGAAATGCAAGCACAACAAGGATGTATGTGAGATTACAAATTGACAGCGTACGTTTTACATATCAGGTCTCAAACAAGTAATCCTCTCCCTATTAACGTTCCTTGGTCTATATCATTTTGTTGAATATTCCGATGATATAACCACAAAGAGCCCAACATGTCACAATTATCTGATAAAAATATTTACGTTAGCAGTAGTGGAAATCCTTCTGAAACTTAACTTGAGTAACTTTGTGATCAAAACTGCGGCTGCGCGTTTTTATAAGACCATTGTACTTATCACTCTGTCGCCGATTGAAACGGGAGACGAGAGAGAGAGAGAGAGAGAGAGAGAGAGAGATAGACTAACATATGGTTCATTTTTATTTCAATAATTCGCTTGCGCGTACGGGTCTTTAGCAGTGGGAGGAATCCGGAGGACCCAGAGAAAACCCAAGAGGTTGGGCAGGCGACCCTACTCTTTGTCACGTACAACCGGGGAACCCCCAGCTGACTCAATGACAAACCTTACGATACAGTGCGCACATGCTAACCATTCGGCTATTCAGATACCCCCCACCCCAAACGGGAGACGAATTAAGACAGTTTCCATGCATTCCAAACATTACCCGCGAGGACACGGTTGTCACTGCGAGATTGAGTTAATGGGAAGGAAAGAATCCTGCTGGGTCATTTGGAGCTGTGGATATCTTTAACAGACACTATGCCGCATCCCCATGGTTGATGCTCCCTAAATTGTCGATAAAGAACGCTCCTTGAATGGGGCGAAAAACCTAGGTTCTGTGTACACATTAGCGTGCACGGAAAGGAACCCTTGACAGTTGGCATGACGCATGCCCGTCTTCATTAACCCGGATGGAGCAGAACAGTAGAACGTTAAACTCATTTCATTCTCCAAATTGCCAGGTAAGACGTACACTTGTTAGCTACTCAGCTAATTTTATTTCAGAAAAAGGGATAAATGATTGAATTAGTGATAATAAACCAGTTTCATCAACAATTTTCACAGGGTGTCGTGTGTTTTTTGCCCATCAATTAGCAAGTAACGTGATCAACATATACATTGCTTCTCCGATTAGAGCAGGCTTTTTTAGTTGGTTCGATGTAAGTTGATATCATCAAAAATCGAAAAGCGTAACGAGCAGGCTTAATGAGAAATCTATGGCCGGGTGGCATATCGGTGGTTAAATTAGTCCCTGTCTGTGTTATATAGATGGATCTGACCTGAAAATTGATTGAATATCTTAAAGGGATACTTACATTTATACTATACTTTTGAATATAAACTATACAATATTTTGCTCTACCAAAAGTAAAAGTTATTCGAATACACACCTTGTCTCTAATCACTAACCGAAATCCAACCAAATTCAAAAATTTGAAGACCGACAGTTCCAGAAAATTGCTTATTGTTGTGGTTTTTATTATAGAAAAGATGGCATGAGATGTAACGCAGTAACACATATTCGGTCCTTTTTATATTGATAAACTTTGAAGTTTTGGACGTCTAAATCTTTGAGCTAAACCCCTTTGATCCCATGTACTATTTCGATTAGAGATCACACAACCTTATACGATTGCAGCATGTTTACCCATTTTAGTTTCATTTTATTCTTACTGCGACGACAGAAGTGGAACGCAAAATCGGCTATATCTCAATATGGGTTATATCTACAAAACAAACTTTACATAAAGTCCAATAAAATTGCCAATTTTATTTTTCAAACAAATCAAAGAGGTTTCAGTATGTTAAGGTTACAATTTGAACTTGTGAATCTAGGAAGCGTTTAGATTGGCTTCTCATTAATTATTTAAGAGTGTTTTTCTGTACTGGAAGCATTGAACGCGTAAATTACTTTTAGCTGTCAGGGAAGACCACACGGGACCGGCGGAACCGGTGTCCCCCCGCCCTCCAATAATGTGTGTTCATTAGCTTAGAAATTGTCTTGGGGACAATCATCCAGAGCCCCATGAAAGTAAATAATTATCAGCATGGCATATCAGAATTATTGATCTGACTGCTAGGGAGATTATAATAAGGATCACGAGTCATCTTTGGACAAAAATTTGATAATATTCGTTAAAACAGGCACATGATCAGTATAATCTTACATTTAACCGTTTATTGCTGACTTGTTTAACAATCGTACATCTGTCACCAAAGGCCAGGGATGTGCCCATGCCGAGTGGCACTATTTGTTGCCGCCCAGCACAAAGAAAAAATCGAAGAAAGCCGCCCAGTCGTATTTAAACCCCTTCTTCCTTCTCTGTACACAAACTCAGCGCTCGAAAAATTTACCACGGCAAACGGCAAAGCCATGGTAAAAGCTGACGCAAACCATGTCTACCACGGCATAATTTATTTTTGTGTGCCGTAGTAGACCCTATTATCCCAAATTAGTTTAAAGAAAGAAGTATTGGTATTTTGTTTATTTATATTTAGAAGTTGTTTAGGTCTATTCATTTTACTACGGTCTTTAAATTTGTATATTTGCCGTAAATAGGTTACCCAGAACAATTTACGGCACTCCAATGTTAAAGGTTTGGATATCGTAAATGGTGTCGTACTTTCGGTTTTACGATCAATTTGTAATGTACTCATTCTACCGTTAAATCTACCGAATCTAAACTAAATCCTAGAGACAGCTGGACTACAGTCCATTTTATTTATACTTGCCACCAAGAAGGGTTGAATGTTCATAAAAGACCACGCTCCCCTCCCAAAATTTTTTTTTCATTGCTCCTCTCGGAAGCTATTTTTTCCACCACTCAGCAAATCCTGGGCACATCCCTGAAAGGCCCAATAATACATCATTCTACTATAATTATAGAACTGGTCGAGCTTACGAGTTAAGATATAGATTATTAGCAGAATACGATACACATAATGACAAAAAAAAGCTCTGCATGACTTCTTTCATCAGGTTATTCTCATGACATCATTGCAGAATTCATATTCTTCGTTAATTATTATATAACACCTAATTAGTTCCACGTACAAAAGACCGGTAACTGTTAAAAAATAATGATCGGCAGAAATAGAAGTCGCCCACAGTTGGAACTTGGGTCAGATAAAGGTGCGGAAATCCGACATTTGATAATAGTAATCAAAACTAATCATTGACTGGAAGAATAATATACCACATTTCATAGGCTGTTAAGTCTATCAAGCAGAATGTGCAGTATGCGAGACAGACCATTCATTTCCCCTTTGAAACGCACGTTACCATGTTATCACTTTTGATATGGAAGAAGCCCTTAGTATTGGAGATGTAGAAGGACAATATTGAAAGGTAATTGGTAATAATAATGCTAGGAATCAAGCTGCAAATTCATAAACACTTATATAAAATATGACTAAGTTTTGATTAGATTAAAAACATTTGATAAAACATTACTGAGCTTGTCTCTTGCGTCCAAACTCAACATAGTACCCAAATGCCGCATACAATGGAAACCGACTTTGGTTGATGCAGCACGAAATGTATAGTGTATACTTTATTTTGGACATTAGTATATTATACTGCTGATTATTGAGATGAGTTAAATATATTTCCTACATGAACAAAAATAATATAACATTTTGACATTCTCGCCATCAGGCATTTGTCAAGATCTTTTTTTACCAATGTCAAGAGATTAGTCCTTTCAACGAGACAATAATATATTCGAGTCTGGTGTATAAATAATGTTAACCATTGTGCAGAACAGTTATCAAGTGTTGCGTACGTTTTTCACTGAATACACTCTGAAATATAATATGAAACATAACATCGATATTTGTAAAAGAGTAGGCGGGAACTCATTTACTCCGCACGACTTAAATATAGTTATATGGCTTTTGGAATCAATGGGGCAACCAATAATTTTCAAGCATTTATGTATCTTGTAATATCATTCTTGTTTAACTGATTAAATAACCACTTGCTGTGACAACTCTCGATTGAAGGCAAGTGGGTATATGAGGTAAAACCCACACGGGTAGTTATAGCTGTCTCTTGAAACAAAATATATCGAGGTATAAAATGGAATGATTGATGACCCTTATTCAGTTTTATATCAATGGCGTATTAATGGATGTCATTACCCATGTGTTCATCGTGTATGATTGAAGGGCACCACGAGATAACCCCGAGTAAAGAAATTGGTCTTAATACAAGGACGATATATCTATTGTCTTGG